TATGATATCAGTGGTTAATATGTTGACAATTTTTAGTGTATATTTATAATAATGCAGCAAATCTACAGTGTTTTATTAACCAAAACTGTTTTTCGCGTTTTTTTAGAGTTGAAGTTTCGATTGAGTACAACTCATTGGGACTGCCACCAAATCAAGTGCGTTTAGACTAGGACATTCAAACTCGCAGTTATCGTTCAAAAGATAATGATGGTGTGAAATATGTCTGGGTTTTTTAAGGAAATGCTTTGTCACAGAATAATAGTCTGTTAAAGGTGCCAAGTATGAAATAATTTGGGGACAAAAAAACAAACCTGCATAGAAATCGGAATAATAGGTCTTTTGATTAGGGACGACGTCAAAAGATCGATGTCAGATGAAAAAAACTTAATTCCTTTAGTTTTTTCCAACCCCCCCCCCGAAACTTAATTGATAAATATTGGTCATGGCGTGAGACTACATTCACCATTAAATGCAAATTGATAATCGGACAGGAGTATTGCATAGCAGTTGGTTGTCGGGTGGGTGTGAAAAGACTTTACAAATGCACTTCATTTGACGCACATATTTACACTCGAACCAAACCATTTTCTCGTCTTGGGTGTGTTTTTTTTTCTTTTTCGGTTATTTCTGTCCATGATTGGATAAAAAAAAAAACGAACTACAAATACTCCAAGATTTTTTTGACTTCATTAAAAAATAAAATCGTTTTTGTAGGATGGAAACTTTTTGAGGTCAAAACCTCCCACCCCCAAACTAAAGCAAATAAGTTTTTTATCCGACATCGATCCTTTGACGCCGTCCCTTACCGTGGACACATTTCAATGGACTTGATTACGGACAATGCATGACATAAATTTCACCAGGAAATTCCGCAGTGTGCTCTCACAATCGCGGACTTAGTCATTTTTACAAGGTTCGCCATTTTTGATGTCACGTGATAATTATGCAAACAATGACTGTCCAATTTGTGCGAACTTGTACCTCTATACTTAGTCTTTTGAAATATAAAATCTAAATTACTGTTCCGAACAAGACAACAGACAGAGAATGTTTTATTCGAAAACGTCACAAAACCCTTCTTGCTCCTTAATTGTAAGGCCGTTACTGATTGACTGCCGAGTTGCAAAGACAATTTTCGGTTTCAAATATCCCAGGAAAGTATTAATTAGGTGTTCCTATGCAAGGAATTTTGACACACAAAAACAAGGAATTTGGTCAAATTTTGCTAATCGAGAGAATATACCTTTTTATTTTTCATTTAACTTGTCAAAAGTTAGTAAAAATAAATTGCATACAAAACACTCAAAAACTCTTTCCAGCGAAAATTAATTCCAGCTAAAATAAAGAATTTGACAGTAGATTATTGTACTATGTGTGCAGTTAACTTTATTCTGACATTTTGAACAGTTGCTTGGAAGTAGTACTACCAATCTAAGGAATTTTATGATTGGCGAGATTTGTCACGAACCATGGTATCACAGAAAAAATAAATAGCTCATTAAACTCCAAGCCAATAAGAGTACATTTATTGTTTACCACACAGGTCATTCTTAATGTGCATTTGATGTGATGGTTAAGTTTAATGGTTAATCATCGACCATCCCATATATGTTGTTGATTTTGAAAGATGTATTAGAATACAGGAGTACTTTATTCAGGAAACTGTCAAAAAAATACTGCGACTTTGCCATCGCTGGTGCTATAGGGAATTAATACAACCCACTGGTTGCAAACTCAACAAAATGATAGTGAATAAACCTCACACAATCAAAACAAGCCTTCTGACAACAAACGGTTATGCTAAAGGTCGTCGACCACTGCACATGCAGTAAATGTTTTTATTTCCTGGGTATCCTAATTAATTATTCATGAGATCAAACTTTACTATTACTGTATAATTTTCATCAAATACACAACTCACTGTAATCAGATATATATTGGGGATACAAAAACAGGTATAGTATTAATATTAGAATGACGAATATTGAGACATTCAAAATAAAATATTAATATATCTATATTATCGGAGACTATTAATATACCGAGAATCCAATATGGCGGGGAGCATGAACCCATATCACGTGACCTTGCCACTTTCACTTGGTCCAGAAATGCAACTTTAATGACATTGGCATCCTCATCTTGCATGCAGGACGTCATTATGAGTGCTAAACGAGTATAAATGGGAAGTGCATCCAGCAAGCCTTTGTTTCACGAATCCCGATCAATGCACTTTGATACTACCGCCATTTTCTGGCTCATCAATGGCCACCCAATGACAGTGCGCAGAATCAGATCAAAAGAAACTTACCGATTCCTCCTCTTTTTCCATTCCAGTTGGCATTTGAGGCACAGCCCTGTTAATTGCCGAATAATCCGGCAAGTCCGGTAACTCCTCACTCTGGTAAACAGGCATAGGTTTGGTGGCATCCAGTGCCCGCGCCCGGAACGACAACTTACTCATGACGATCTGAATGCACAATTGCAAACTTACGATGCCTTCACGACACCTCTTAACGAGGCCGTAGATCGAAAATTTGCGTCCGCAGTATCCGTTAACGCTCTCTAGTTGGCTTCCATATAGGTTTTAACAACTGGAACCACCTGTGCTTTACACAGAAAGAGTCAAAATTTCAAAAATTTTCAAAATCAGACAATTCAACATGGCGGACACTAAAATCCGCGATCCCATGAAGCTTTGCGAAGGGAGTAAATAGCATGCGCACGCACATCGCCATTTCATTCATAAGTGAACTGTATGTCAACTATATCTGATTCGATTTGCTACGCATGGACATGGAAATTACAATTTATAAAAAAAAAATATTTGTATTTTTTTCAGTTAACTGTTGTTTTCATTCATAACGGCTAACCTTCTAATACATACAAAGATAAAAAAAGGACACACCCATTTCCCACTTTCACACATATATCAAATACAACAAACTCATTGTTTCTTTCAATGGAAGAGTATTATTTCTATCTTCATTAATATGAAAATATTACATTTTGTGATTAATTAATTCAACTGTTACACAGAATTCAAAATTTATTCCATAGCAATATATGCAAATCGACTAAAAAAAGCAAAATATTTCATAATAAATTCTATAGCCTTTTGTAAACATCCAAAACATTCAGCATTAAACTAGTTCATTGCACACTTATTTTCACAGGGGCTTGTCAACTTGCGACCAAAGAGTGATAAAAAGTGTAAAAGGGGAGGACACTCCACAATCCCTGATGATGTCACAGCTAGAAATTATCACAATTTTAAGCAGCTATAAACATTTTAATTTTGAGAAAAAAATCTCATACAAACTGAACTAAGTTTATTGCGGCATGTTCACAATCAAACCATGCAATACTTATTTTCTGTGCTGGAATGTGATAGAATGTTTTTTGCTGTACGTCAAAAGCCAGCCTCCTGATCTCCTGTTGATTGTAAAAAACAAAAAAATATTATCAACTGCCCTTGCTTTTGGGATTATTGAATGAAAATTTTGCAAGTAACTATCACATTATACTCAAGAAAAAAAACATTAATGCAGGCCAATCAGCACTAAGTCAATGCTTGCTCATGACTAAGAAAAATATAATGTTCAAACACGTTCCCGCCCAGAAAGTACTAATATTTACAACTCATTGGATGATAAGATCATGAATGTGTCCACAATAAACAATTTTGTTTTCACAAAGTTAAAATGCTCAAAACTTTGGAAAATTTCTTGCAGTGACATCATTTAGAACTGAGGAGTGTCCTCCCTTCTCACAATTAATGCTTACTCTGGGCTCTGAATTGACAAGCTCCCCTTATTTCTATACAAAAAGTCTGAACAAGCCCTGTGCACTGTTTGCTGAATTTCCACCCATGTAACATCATACAAATCAAAACAAATTGGTTCTGGATGTTTGGTGGAAATTAAAAAAAATAATACATACAAATTAAGAAATTCAAGAAAGTCTTGCCATACAGTGCAACAATTTAATTAGCTTTCTTGCCAGGAAGTGATTACCTAACTGTCCAAAAATAGATTAGCATGCTTTTGTTTTCAAAAGATTTAACTAAATCAAGCAGTAATTTGTTTAAATTTCATGCAAAATAAAAATGTATGCATAAAAATAAGTTCAGCCTGGCATACATACATTTCATATTTTTCACAAAACTGCATTCCCACTTTATTTCAGTAAAAAATTCAGTAACTATACTATACACAGTGGGGGAAAAATTCAAAACATTTTTTTTTAATAAAGAACCACTCATTACCTTACATCTCTTGAAAATAACAATACTTGCCTGTGCAAACCAAGTTTTTCAGGGGGGTGGTGGTGTACATGAAACACTACCACCAGAGCAAACAGATTACATTTCTAGATAGATATTCTGCTACAGTATAAGCTTTACATACTGTAATTTCAGTATGTATTAATTTAGAATATGTCACAGGATTTGTTTTCCTGTAAAGTTGATTTAAATACCCAATAAAAATAAACAGAACACAGTATTTCCCATAAAATGAGATAAACACATAAATGTAAAAGGCCACAATTCATGTTGTGATGGTAATAAATAAATAATTATGGTTTGAGGATATCCACTGCAATTCATCAGCACATCATGTTTATTTCCCCTACCTATTAAATAATCATCTGCCTTTAATGTCAGTACAATAAAAGTGAAATAAATGCATTTAAGTCATTATTCAGAAACACATGCACGAGTCGAACAGGAAATCGAGCCGTAAATAGTTAACACAAAAACAAAACATGAACAGACATTAGAAAATACATTTCTTTCAAATGAGTATTTGTTACAGAAATGCAGAAATCCATTGCTGATAAGTTCTTTTATTATTGTTAGGTGTAATGAATCTTCAATTATTGTGTTTTTTTTATAGTTTTTGTTTTGTAATTAAATTTTTGTGAAGAATAATTGTTAGTAAAACTTATCATTCATACACATAAGTTGACTAATAAACACCTTGCCAGTGTCAAGTTTGTCCAGTAAAAGAACATTCAAATATTAGCATTCATGTGATTTACAATGTATATAAAAATTCAGGTAATAATGACATTATTTGAATCAATTTTCTGGTAAGTGAACTATAATCAAGTTATAATTCTTTAGAACTGAAGCTTGATCAAACAATTTTAAAAAAGAAAACAGGAAATGTTTTAATTTTTTTTTATCAAGAAAGACTGCATACTGAATATTGTACCGATTAAAATGAACAACTAAATTCTCTTTTGCAAGAGATGGAAAGGTGATCTCAAATTAAAAATATGCCAGTTATAGCATACAATGATGCATGATTGCACTGCACTTCAACTAAGCCCTTGCTAAATCTAGAACGTACTTTCCTGTGATCTTGCAAGTAGTTTTATCAGTATTTCTGATGGGAGGAATATGGCACTATTTCACCAAATGAAAATGGATGGATCACATGGATGCAGCAAAACAATTTTTCCTGCAAACAAGGATACATAATTTGATAAGAGTGAAATTGTACACAGACTTATTATACGCTCAATTACATACTGTATTAACATTACCAGTTACGATTTGCAATAATATCAAGTATACAGGAAGCTGTCAATCCTAAGAATTGTACAAGTGCACCATTGGTTATGTTGGTAATCTAATAGTCTTATAGTTCCCACTGTAATTTTAATCAAACAAGTAAATTATATTTGAGATTAAGCTTATCTTTAGCACATCACCTGCATATACCATTTTTTCTCATTCATTTGGACTATCCATAGCAGTTTTCAGCCAGTGATGTGCTATGATGTACAAAGCACTGAGGAATCATGGGCAATTCATTGTCCGGATTAATCATATTTGAATAGAGAAATGGACCTCCAACATGGAGAAGAACTATGATTTTCCTGTTAGCTATTTAGTGTTAGCTACTGGTATTTTATATTACACTACAGTAGTAGCAATACACCTTGAAGAAATGACGCAAGGACGAGTAGGAACTCACATTTGTACATTTGCATTGTTGAAAAGTTTCTCATTAGTGGCGAGACAAAAACTGAAAACACAATGACAATGTTCAAGCTTAGACCAATCTGTGTGTGATTTTTTTATCCATTCCAATACTAAATCTCTTTCAATCAATATTACAGTACAGATAAACAATTATCACCACACCAGGTAGTACATCTGTAACATGGGAATACACTCGTGCTGGGACGGCAAGCCAAATGCCATACATATTTCAGAATGGTTTATATAAATAATTCAGAACCAACCATCTAAAAACATTTGTACAAGATCTACACATTGCTGGCATTAATTTCTCAGATGTGAATATAGCTGCATGGTACCTCATCAAAAACGATAAAATACACAAAAGGCTATATAAACTTTTCGAAAGTTTCTTGCACGTTTTAGTTGAGTGTGCACTGTTAAGTACAACTGTTCAAGGCATCTATCAATATTTACTACAATACGTTCTTAAAGATGCAATGAGATGATAGTTTTATATTTGATGAAATGAATAGACACAGTGGAAGAAAATGTGTGCTAAATGACAATGTGATTCAAATGACAAGCTAAGCTAAGTTGTATTGACCCTATATTTTTTATTGGGAATCTTTAAATGTGAAATAATTTTTGGCCTATACCAAATCTAACAGTTATAGCACATGCAAAACAAGGTCACAAGTTTCTGGCAAATAGAATTTATGGGTTACATCAAATCACTGAATGGTGTATTGTTGACAAAACTTAATTTGAACAAAAATCAAATCAGAGAGTTTGTGAGTTATACTGACTGAAACCTGAATTTATTGTCTTCACATAATAAAATCTGCTTTTGTTGCTAGATAAACGCAACTAACCTAAGTAGTATGTAATGTTCGAAGTTAGTTCAGATGCAGTGGTAACACAAGTAATATAATTGTCCTATAAATTCAAGAGGGAGGGACCTAATGACAATACAGAAAACAATGAGTCTGGCATGCATCTTTCCCCATAATAATTTTTATGAAAAATGTTTCACACCACCTTCAGTCCCCCTTCAATCATCAAAATGAAAATCTTGCATGTGATTTGGATATATGATATACCAAGATGCTTAAATTTTAGTTACAACCAAACAACAAAACTGCTCTGTAATGTTTGATTTTTGGCAAGATGGACATTTTGCTAATACCATAGCTGTTTCTTTATTACCTGGTACAGTACACATTACTGAACATGGCAAATGCTTCAAACACAATTTTGTCAACGATACAATTTTAAAATAGAGACGTATTTTATGATTTTTTTCAATTTGAATTCCTAGCAAGCCACTTATATTTGCACTGGGATCTGACACAAAATAATAAAGAAACTTATTAACTTAACCCAAGTTATTTCACAAGTTAAACATTTTCAACAAAATATAGAAAATACAACTTGATTGAACATTGATACACTGGTCAGATGTAGTATCAGTACAAATGATTGTATACACTCACTGAAAAAACAAAGTTTTCTGATTAAGTTTATACCAGACTCTGTTGTCAATCAGCTTTGGGCAACAAATAATATAATACTCATTCATGGATGATTATGTTAAGGTTGATCAATACAGTTTTATGAAAGTTTTTGAAAAGTGATAGATATTGCTATAAAAGGTCATGTGCAAACAACAAATTGGAGCTACAGCCCAATTTTTGGAGATCAACATGATATTAATTCACGATATTATGGAGTTAACACATGGCACAAGCAAGACCTAATTATAAAAAGTTTTGTTTTATGCTAGATAAGGCTGTGAAGCCTTTTTGTAATGACAAGATAGTTGCAGTACCGGTAGTTTGTCACATTCTAAAACATGGGTGATGGAATATGTACTCAGGTGACAATTCCGGCATGTCAACTAACCTCTCATATTTCACCCAAATTGCACATGAAATTTCGTTTTTCACTAAAAAAATTTCTTTTTTTATGTATAATTATTGGTCGACACAGAAATTTGAACTTTAAGTTCTTGTTGAGATGACATGAAATAAATAACTGGCAACAGTAACATAACAGTTAATTTTTATTCCAATACTGAACTTTCAAATATGGATCAAGGTTACTCAGAAAATATGAATTTATTCTGCAAAAACTGAAACTGTATTGATCAACCTTGAATAAAATTTAGAAGTACATAATATTTCTACTTTTTTCAAAAGATATTTTTCATACTTAATATACCTTAATTTGAATTCACATGATTCCCAACTCATGGAAACCAAATAATGGTTCACCTGCCATTCACATTCACAGGCAATTGTAAGAATGGGCAGATTCACAAGATTATATTGTGTAACTGAATTTAATAAAAAAAATTCACAGATGGCAACTGTTTTTTGCTTTTTTTTCAGGATGGAAATTGAGCTTGTCACAGACATAAAATTGGACAGATTTACATAATAAAAGATTTAATGATTACGGCAGCTAAAACTGGCAAGTAAATATTCAAAGCATCATATTAGGTACTTGGTGCTTCAATACAAGGCATTGAAGATTAAGAGTTCATGGCTTAATGAACTTACCCTGTAACAGAGTTCAACAGAGTTCAATGCACAAAAAACGTGGGTAAGAAATTTTGTGCACTGGAAATGACAACCAGAAAGAATAAATAAGTCAGAAAAAAGATAATCCTTATAAAAAACAAAATAAATAGTTCTGGTGTAAAATTATTTTCGCATGGAAATATTGTACTTGTTTGCAACACAACATGCTTTAATGTCAGCCTATGACTGGAAGGAGTAACTGGAGTATACATATAAAATTCTTTACAGCACCACTACCAGAAGTCATCATCTTAGTTTCCTACGCTTGATTTTGGACCTCGATTTGAAAATGGGTTTTGATTCAAACGCCTAGAAAAAAAAAGATATTTAATGTTATTCCTCACAAACCCAAGCATTCCTTAAGTATATAGTTTAAGAAAGCAACTAAAAACAAGCAGCCTGTCGGCCGAGATAGCTCCGCTATTACCAAGGCACATTTCAATTAAAGAACTGAAGATATCAGTACATTATGTATACATGTAGTATGTATAGCAATCGGACTTGCTGTTTTCAACAAGAATTCAAAAATATCACTTTATACCCAAAATGACAAAAATATTCATCAAAATAATTGAAGATATCATCACAAAATGAACAAATCTGAGAGAGGTTTACCTGAGGTACCTATATGTATAGTATTCAAAGCAATCAGACTCGCGGTTTTTAACAAGAAGTCGAAAATATCACTTTTTACCAAAAACATCAAAAATAATCATTAAAATTAGAGAATTGAAGATATCATCATCAAATGAACAAATCTGAGAGAGATCCACATGTAGTCTCTATATATGTAATATCAAACCAATTGGACTTTTAGTTTTTAACAAGAAGTCGAAAATATCACTTTTTACCAAAAATTACAAAAATATTCACCAAAATTAGAGAATTAAAGATATCATTACAAAATGAATAAATCTGAGAGAGGTCCATATGTAATATCAATATCAAAGCAATTGGACTTGCTGTTTTCAACAAGAAGTCGAAAATATTACTTTTTACCAAAACTCACAAAAATATTCACCAAAATAAGAGAATTGAAGATATCATCATGAAATGAACAAATCTAAGGGAGGTCTACCCAAGGTACATATACACCAAGTATCAAAGCATTCAGGCTTGTAGTTTTCAAGAAGAAGTCGAAAAAGTAAAACATTGACAAAGTCGACAGCGGAGCTAATAAAAGTGCAGAAAAGTGCAAAGAAATTCTGATGGTGAAACGGTTAAATGTTTGAATTGTGTAAACAGACAATGTATTTTACATGTGTTTAATATGTGAAGAACATAATGCGGTGCAACAATCACCACACTTTTAGTTACAAAACAACTGTGTTCAGTTATATTTTCAAACCTTTCACATTTGTTTGGCAATATAATAAGTTAGCATACAATTCAGCATATCATAGATTGGTTGAGACTATACAGCAGCTTTTCATGTGGTATATAAATTGTATTCTAATAATATGTGTGTATTTGTATGAACATGTTTGTTTTGTTCATTGTAAAAGTGTTGTGAATATCAATGGCAACACATTATGCAATTTTGTTCTTCAAAAAGATGTCATATTCTCTGAACATGCATGGTAAATGAAAGATGCAAGTTGGATAATTTTTCGAGGGTTGCAAGATGGTTACAATGTAACAAACCAAAAAATTATCTTTTCAGGAGTGATCCTCGTGTATAAGCTCACCCCTTACTTTCCACAATTTTACATAATGAGGACCCTGGGAAAGTATGGTAATAGAATGTTTAGCAGAAAATAGAAATTAGAAATCAAACAAAAAATGTACCTGTTCATCTAATTCCATCATTGCTTCTTGAATGGCAGCCTCAAGATTACTGTTCATCTTACGACCTCTGAAATACAATAATAAAATTCAAGATAATAATTGTACAATTCTTCATCATTGCATGACAGCCAAAATTTTGAGTTCTGACGTTCCGGTATTAAAAGATCTTGGGACATAAAACACTATCATACAAGTGTGAAAGAATAAAATCTATTTACATATGACAAAAAAAAAATAGCATAGTGCCCTCTTTAGTTCAAGATGAGTTTCATTTGTTTAAACAAGCAGCCTCTCGGCTGAGATAGCTCCGCTGTTAGCAAGGCACATTTCAACTGAAGAACTGAAGATATCATTAGAAAATGAACAATATGTATAGTATGTATAGCAATTGGACTTGTGGTTTTTAACAAGAAGTCAAAAATATCACTTTTTACCAAAAATGACAAAAATATTCACCAAAATTAGAAAATTAAAGATATCATTACAAAATGAACAAATCTGAGAGAGGTTCACATGTAGTACCTATATATGTAATATCAAACCAATTGGACTTGCGCTTTTTAACAAGAAGTCGAAAATATCACTTTTTACCAAAAATGACAAAAATATTCACCAAAATTAGAGAATTGAAGATATCATCATGAAATGAACAAATCTGAGAGAGGTCTACCCAAGGTACATATACACCAAGTATCAAAACATTCAGGCTTGTAGTTTTCAAGAAGAAGTCGAAAAAGTAAACCATTGACACGAACGACGGACAATCACTCATATGATAAGCTCTGTTCGACAAAGTCGACAGCAGAGCTAAAAAACAGCAAGAAAAGGCCAATCTTCAGAAAAAACAACAAAAAACAATTTTTGTTATAAAAGCAAATGGCAACACAAAGTACATAATTGTACACCTTTCTCAAAACATATAAATTGTCACAGTTACATGTTGAAGTCTCTAAAAGTTTTCTCCTTTTTCCCTCTCGTTACCGCAACATATTATACAATAATAATATTAATATTATTGTTACAGCTGTCTTCAGTCTACTACTTTAGTATGTAACATATATGGAATTAATGATGTGGACAATTATATGATTGTTTGATGATCATGTGGACATTAAGTGGTCATAAGACAGCCATGTTGACATTAAGTGGTCATAAGACAGCCATGTTGACATAAAGTGGTAATAAGACAGCCATGTTGACATTAAGTGGTCATATGACAGCCATGTTGACATTAAGTGGTCATATGACAGCCATGTGGACATTAAGTGGTCATAAGACAGCCATGTGGACATTAAGTGGTCATATGACAGCCATGTGGACATTAAGTGGTCATATGACAACCATGTTAACATTAAGTGGTCATAAGACAGCCACGTGGACATTAATTGGTCATAT